TGACGTCATTAATGAACAAATATATCTGGAGCTGTGATAAACACCTTGTGCAGCTATGGCATATGACACAGCACTGCCCACATCGCTACTGCTCCTATAACAGCTCATTTTCATCAGTTCTTTTGTCTTTGGGTCGTTATATTTCTCACAGATTTCTGCTCGTTCTAAATCAGATCCAGATAAAGTAGCACAGTAAAGAGTACATTCATATGAATGCATTAGTGAGCGCGATTGCGTGTGTGAATTAATTCTACCTGGCAGCATCTCAGTAGTGAAGCTGTGGGATTTAGTTATTAAGAAATACTGTATATGCCTGAACTTTTCAGTTTCTAAGCTATTTTATTGAGAAATCACAGTACAGTGTTGACAATACATTTCCGCGCTGAATGATTCTGTGCGTGTGATGTACGAGCTACTGTCTGAAGCCTATGTGTGTGTGTTACAGTGCAGCAGCACATTAGATTAGAACGGCGATTAACTTACCTGTACAAAAAGCTGTTTAAAATGTTCATTCTCCTGTTCAATTTCGAGCACCCAGTAATATAATCACACATGTCTTGTGGAGTGCTTTCAGAGCATGCATTTATTTGTCATTTTAACTGTTTGGAAACAGAGCGTAAATGTTGAAGTCCTTTAAAGATTTCTTATCCTGTTGCGCCCTCTATAGGACCAGCGACTAGTCGACGTCAAGCTTAATGAGGGATGGCAGAGCATTTAAGTCGATTAGTCGGTGCAACCCCTACTTTGGACAGAAGTTTCTGCCAAATAAATGAATGTTACCTGAATGTTTTTTAAGTAATGAGTTACAATTAGCATGCATCTATTATTAGCCACTCATGTATCCCAAGAGGAGGATGGCGTGCCAGAGATGTGAAGATGGATGGAGATAACAGTCCAGAATGATGTGTGATCAGAGTAGACAGGGACACCAATGCATTCAAGTAACATTTTAATTAGTTACAATAAGGGGGTTACAAGTAACACTATTGTTTCTAGTTCATGTAACTCAACTGGTAGAGCGTGGCACCACCAACACCAATGACAAGGGTTCAATTCTCAGGAAAAACACATGCTGATAAAACATACATTTGAATGAATGAATAAATGACAAAATAATGACAATATAATGTTTCCTTTTAAAGTAAGGCATTACAATTGGCATGCATTACATTCATTTACTTTCAATTAAGACACGTGTGGTCCAAAATTAACAATTGGCAACCACCAAACTGGAGTAAAACATACTAAGTCTCATTAAATGCATTGATGTCCCTTTCTACTTGAGTCTCACACCATCCTGAAATGTGTTTCTGCATCCGTCATCATGTCTCTGGCATTGTAACCTCCACTTTTGCCACGAGTGATTGGTAATAATTGCATACTAGCTGTAACACATTACCTCAAAAAACACTAGGCGCGTTTCCATTACAGATTTGCGCAAAACTTTGGCGATATTTGATAAATGTCGATAAAAAAGTATTGCGAAATTAAGGCGTTTCCATTAACCAATGTTATGAGACTTAAACATAACCTTTTGCCTCTCGCGATAAGTCATGGCAATGGATTTTGGTGGGATTTTTACGGATTTTGGCTATATTTATTTAAAGGAGGCTTATGTGTTTCCTTTTAAAGTAAGGCATTACAATTGGCATGCATTACATTCATTTACTTTCAATTAAGACACGTGTGGTCCAAAATTAACAATTGGCAACCACCAAACTGGAGTAAAACATACTCTCATAAACAAAGTCTCATTAAATGCATTGATGTCCCTTTCTACTTGAGTCTCACACCATCCTGAAATGTGTTTCTGCATCCGTCATCATGTCTCTGGCATTGTAACCTCCACTTTTGCCACGAGTGATTGGTAATAATTGCATACTAGCTGTAACACATTACCTCAAAAAACACTAGGCGCGTTTCCATTACAGATTTGCGCAAAACTTTGGCGATATTTGATAAATGTCGATAAAAAAGTATTGCGAAATTAAGGCGTTTCCATTAACCAATGTTATGAGACTTAAACATAACCTTTTGCCTCTCGCGATAAGTCATGGCAATGGATTTTGGTGGGATTTTTACGGATTTTGGCTATATTTATTTAAAGGAGGCTTATGCGTGTATCTTTACAGAAGCAGCACAGATAGCCGCTTCAGAAACGTGCGTGGCACGGCTGGAATAAACCATAGACTGTATAAAAAAATAAACACAAGCATTGAGTGACCGTAATCAGCTTCAGTGACCGTATCAGAGCCACACTGCACTGCAGACGTGTGCAGTGTAAATTGTCTAAGCATTAATAGTAGGGAAAGCCCTTTATACTGGAGCGCGGCCACTTATGGAGTATTTCTTGGAGGTTATAGTACACTGAAGAATGATCACATGACTTTTTACATACGCCATGTGACCTGTAAATGCGAAAAAGCCGTTTCCATTGCAGTTTTGCGAATTATTCCTTTTTCGCATTGCCTGAAAAACCACCTCATGCGAGCGTATAAACTTTTTTGCGATTATATGGGCGTTTTTGCGAAATTGACGCGTTTCCATTAGGCGTGTTTTCAATTCCCAATTTCAATTTGCGCAATTTGAAGGGTAATGGAAACGCGCCTACTGTTACATTTATTCATTTGGCAGAAACTATTATTCAGATTGACCTAAATGTGTATGTTTTATCAGCAAGTGTTTTTCCTGATATTTGAACCCATGTCATTGGTGGTGATGGTGCCAAGTTTTACCAGTTAATCTGCTTGAACTAATAAAAAAAAGAGAATGTTTTTTTTATACCTCATCTTGGGACACATGAGCCGCTGTTGATAGACGCATGCTAACTGTAACACATTACTTAAAAACATTCATGTAACATTTATTTATTTGGCAGAAACTATTATCTAAATTGAGCATGTGTGTGTCCAGGGATCTGTACCCATGTCTACCAGTTAACTAAATAACAGTAGCGTTACTTGTAACCTCCCTCTGTTGTAACGCAACCTAAATGCATTAGCATCCCTTTCTACTGAAATCTCACATCATTCTGTGATGTTTTCTTCATCCATGATCACATCTCAGACACAACAACCTCCTCTTTTGACACGAGCGGCTGATAATGCTAACTGTAACACATTACCTCAAAAAACTTTGTTACATTTGTTCAACTTACAGAATCTTCTAAAGCAACTTAAATGTGTATGTACTGTATTATTAGCATGTGTGTTTTCCAGAAATTAAACCCATGCCATTGGCCTTGGTGGTGCCACGCTCTACCAGTTGAGTTACAAAAAGTGTTACTTGTAACTCTTTTATTGTAACACATTAAAACATAACATAAATGCATTACACCCACCCAACGCTGCTGTAATGTACCAAAGTAATGTAGGCAAAGTACCACTCCTGCTTCATTTATCTTTCCTTTGCCCTTCATGCTTTCATTTTTCATTCTTCATCTTGAACATCCGTGCCTCGCACTGGAGAGGGACAATGTCTTCTTTTCTCTTCGCACACAGTTCTGCGAGGCTTGGTCTATCCCTGCAAACCCTCCTTCATCAATAATTATGCCCAGACATCCCTCCACACTGGACAAACACACCTTTCCCCCTCATTTCATCTCCATTTCCATCCATCTTTTGGTGATTATCGGGTGCGTTGATCTTAAATCCGCATGTTAGTCGCTGGGTTTTTAACGACCCTGGTGAATGTGGGAGTATGAAACGCTGGCCAGCGGTGCATGTCGTCTCTGCAGCGAATTTGTTCAAATATTTGCTGAATCTTGTTCTGGGTTTGTGGCCAGAAAATGTCTTCCAGATTAACTCTGTTAAAAGTTGGATGAACTTGTTGACATTTGTTTCAGATAATGTTTCATGAATGGGTTCACATTTAAGTTTAGCAGATTTTCTTTTTTGTGGATGAAGTATTAGGGTGGATAATTTTTAAATATTGCTAGAATATACTTTTTTCAATGCTGAGTATTCATATTTGTTAATTATCGATATTGATGCTTTTTTTTTTTTAATTTAGCAATATTAGCTGCTATTGGATATTTAATTGTTCATGCTCGTTTTCACTATTTTTAAAGTAATTTTACATTAAAATACCTATTTATTTGCTTTCTTAATACATGTTCCTGATCTTATTGTGCACAATATATCTATGCATCTATACAAGAAGTTAGTAGTTCCAAGTCTTTGGAATTGATTATCAAAGTTTCTGATCTTGCTCTGCATCTAAAATGTCTTTTCTTCTTGCCTGATGTCACTAGGAAGGAACCCCCTTCAAACATTTGATGTATACTATAGAGACACTCCATGATCCAGTTAGTTCTCTATGGATTAAATCATGTAATGCCAAAAATTATGATTTTTTTTCTGACAGAATATCCATTTTACTTGGAAATGCATCAGATTATGGATGAAAAAAGAGATACTGTAGACAGATAGAGAGATGAGAAGGCACATAAAGCCGGAAATCACTCATAGACTGGCAGTCAGTAACGTGGTCGGCAGAACTTTGCATTCCATCACTGTGCGACCCCAATTTTCCCCATTTTCATCTTCGTCATCAGCGCTTTGAAGCTCTTCCAGGGTCTGTGGATGCCAAGCTGTCTGTGGGTCGTTCAGCTGTGTCCAGTTATGAGGTTACAGCGGTTCAGATGAGCCGAGTTCAGTCAGGACACACAGTCAAGTACAGAGAAATAATACAAATACTGGCTGGTGATGTTATTCGGATACTCAGACAGTAACGGTGGGATATTGATGGCTGAATAAGTTTGTTTTGATACTTAGTTAAATAAGCCCTGTATTTCATTCAATACTGTACTAAATATTTCTCAGTCTTCTCTGGTTGTTCTATGTAGCATCTTGACAGGAACCTGTTTCTTTACTTTCGCCTTTTACTGACAAGAAGTTATGGATATTTTAAGATAGTGATCTACATTTAATTGTCTGTTTGTCAAAATGTGACACAATTCGCCTCATTGTAACTCTGTCTGTTCACTTCTCCTCTCTTAGGATCCAGGCTACTGGATACAGGTGAATCGGTTAGAACATGGAGACGGAGGCATTTTGGACCTGGATGACGTGCTGTGTGATGTGGCCGACGACAAAGACAGGGTATGTAATCTGTAGTCTGCATTAATATTTAATTTTTAAGTGGAGACGCTGATCTCTAATGTACTCAACCTGAACTTTCATTTCTAGTGTGATGAATGAACAGAAAACGATACCAAAACCATTATATTTTGACTTTTATTTCTGAGACCTGTGCCATCTGCTGAATCAAAAATGTAACAATGAGGTCTTATATAACTGAATTAATAATTTTAAGCATGCTCTTTTTGGGTTTATAAACAGTTTGAGCTAGTAAAGCTTTGACTATGACCCCAGTTTGACTTGACAGATGTGTAACTGGTATTTTGGTGGCTTATTGAATGTCTTATTCATGTCTGTTTTACGTTTTGACATCAAAATCAACAATTATTTTAAATAACGAGAGGCAGTGTTCGTGATAATGTAGATATAAAAGTATTCCACATTTATTCCAGATCAAAGAGAGGAAGAGTGTTATAGGCCTCTGTTTTTCTGACTTGTTATAGTGGTTATTAGGGTTAGGCGATGTCTACCAAATTGGCATCGGACGATGTGTACAGTGAAACATCGCGATGGACGATGACAGCAGGAGGGCTTGGGGGGTTATGGGGTGTGCCCGAAGCGTGAATCCTTATTTAGAAAGGTACGGAAAACAAATAACAATTGTTAACGGTTGACGGTTACATTACAGTACACATAAAATTGAACTTACCACATAAACGGAGTAAGGGGAGATGACAGAGGATGATGGCGAATAATTTGCAGATCCTGAGCACCACTGACAAACATATAATCTTGTAAAATGTGTGGTAAGTACTGCCGCTCCATAGTATAAACAGAGTACGCGTGATCGCGAATCTCGAAAGTGAAAGTGAAACTAAAAAGCGATCGCGCATTCAAAAGCAGTTTCACTGCCAGGCGTAATAGCGGCTCCCTGATGCCCGCAATTTATATACAGTATAATTGCCCAATGATATAAATACTGAAATATGTATTTTCCTCCCATCGCTTATTTATTCCCTTTAGGGTTGGGAGGGGGAGGGGGATGGGGATCGCGATGCCGGCTCAACATCGTGATGTCTATCAGCCATTGGCGATGGACAATGACATCGTCTATCGGCCCAACCCTAGTGGTTATCACATCTGGATGTGTATTGATTTCATTTCACGAAGCTTGGGAATGGTCAGGAATGTTGAGTCTGCTATTGTACTTATATATCTAGTGATGCATTGAAATTACAACAATCAAAACTATTTGACTGGAAATGAATTTGAGTTTTGCTGAAATCATTGACTGAAATGATTTTGCGATTTCAATCGATCCTCATTTTGATGAACCAAGATCTTTCAGTTTATGCTGTTTTCAGTGTGAACAAAACTTCACTAAGCATTAGTGCGCCTGTTATCCAATAGTCGCAATAGGCTTTGTGCTTTGCTACTTTTGATATGAAACACTGTCTGGGTTCTCAAATTCATTCAATATTATAATAAAATTCAAACAATAAGTGCAGTTTTGATGTTCTTTAATGTGTCATGAAAGAATGCGTTTCAAAGATGTCAGTAAAACGGCTTGTAAACAATACGCCACGTAACTGTATACATTTACCCCAGGATTTACCCCAAGCCATTCATTGTCCATTAACTCGGTAGTTAGCTAGAAGAAATAAGAGAAAGCATTTTGCTAATATTTGCACTACATTACATATTCATTATATATGTAATTAACCTGTTGTCTTTTATTACAGACGCCATTTAAAGGTTTATAGATTGTAGTAGAAACATAATTATATCATTAAAAAGTGCCTTATGTGCATTTTAGAAGCTTATATACAACTTGTTTTTTTTTTGAGTGTTTATTATTATTAAATAAATAAGAGTAATTATTTGATTATTAAATAAATTTTTTTCGGTTTCGGTTTTCAGCTAAATGGAAACTTTAGTTTTATGGTGCATCACTAATCATTACCTCTTCCTATAATTTCCCTTCATCTGATGCCAAACTGACAGTGAGTTTGTGTGACTAACAGCGTTGGTCAGCGTTTGTAACGATTTTTCAGTTCGACTCACCAGTTTCGGAGCACCTCATGCTAAATAAATGTCTTTTCCTCAAGGAATCATCCAGGAAAAGCATCATGATTCTGTCATGGCAGTGGAATGTGGGAAGTTTACCTCCATCGGAGTCATTGCTCTTGTGTGCCCCTGGCTCTCACTGTGAATAATGGCTAATCTCAGTTCCACTTAAGAGATTTGTCCCTCTGGTGGGTTTATAGCTGTAGTTTGTTCATTAGCATTACTGCTAATGTTGTCAAGCCCTGATAAATTGTGTTTAGTCAGCAAGCTAATTAGCTGTCCGTTCCTGCTGGGCACTGGTGACATCTCTCTGGCTAGAGCCGCTTTTGTTCCTGGCGATTTATAATCGTCCTCTCGGCATGACCGCAGTTGCTAATCCATGTTAGCTCAATTAGTAAACGGCACAGTCTGGCTACACTTGCTTTGTGTCTGCTCCGTCCAATCCGTATTATGAAGCTAATTAGCATTAGCATTGACTTTGAAAGCAGAGGATATTGTCATTGATACTGAAGGAAAAAAAAAACTGTTATATAATGCCCCATATGGTCTAGTCTTAAAGACTTTAACATGTATTAAATGTATTTTAATAGCACCAACAATAGGTACAGTGGCGGTGTCAAATGATGATACTATGGTACTGAATGATTAGCATGTTCATATCTCATGTGATTGTCATGGTACATAGGAGAGTGCACAATAAAATTAATGCAAAGTTGCATTAAATTGATCAAAAGTGACAAAAAATGATAAAATGTTACAAAAATATATTTCAAACAAATACTGCCTTCTAACTATCCATTCATCAAAAGTCTACAAAAATATGAAGCAGCACAACTGTTTTCAACATTGATAATAATCAGAAATGTGTCTTCAGCAGCTAATCAGCATATTATACTGATTTCTGAAGATCATGTGACACTGAAGACTGGAGTAATGATGCTGAAAATACAGCTGCGCATCACAGAAATAAGTTACATTTTAACAACATCCATATAGACAGCAGTTATTTTAAATTGTAATATTATTTCACAATATTACAGTTTTTAGTGTATTTTTTATCCAATAAATGTAGCCTTTGTGAGCATAAGAGGCATTATCAAAAGTGTATATATATATACAGTGGGTACGGAAAGTATTCAGACCCCGAGATACAAATATGTATATATATATATTTATAAAATTGTACATTTATGTTTATTTTATTGTATTTTTATTTTATTTTAGACATGTTCAATGAAAATACTACGGATTTTGCGTCCAAACGTCTATGTTTGCATACAGAAATCAGAATCAGTTGCGCTGTGTTGTTCTTTGTTTGGGTAAATGCTCTCTGCAGTTGTAGAGTCAGGAAAGCGTCTTGAGAGCTGCTGCTCGTCTTGGGAGTGCTGAGCTTTTCATTCGCGGGTGCCATGGAAACAGCAGGAGTCAGTCAGACCAGACGTCTGCATCTGTGGCTTTGCTGTGTGGGATTCCTCCGAGAGCCACGTAACACCTTCCTCCCTCTTCACACCCTCCACATCCTCTCCACACTTTCATCCGCCCGGCTTTGCTGGCATTTCTTGATTCTGCAGACAACATTTCACTGCCACATGCATCCATTCTTCAATACTGCTAATCTTGCATCATCTCCTTTGTTGTTGTTGTTTTTTTTTCTTTTTTATGTTGTCTCACTCGTTCTCACTGATTTCCTCTCCTGTACCCTTCTAGAGTTTTCCATTCACTGCTTTTGGGTCCTCTGAGGTTTCACAGCGTGCCATGCACTTGCCTTCTTGCATTTCTGAGGATTAGATTTAAATATTATTTCTGCTATACGCTGTGCATTAGATTAAGTAGCTTTGCATCTTTGTGTGTTTATATCAGATGTTCAGGGCTCAGTGTATGTATTTGGCCTTGTGTGGTTGAGTGAACAACAAGGCTTTTTTAATGTTCTGTGCGTTAAAGGTGTTCTTTATTTTTTATTTTTTGTTTTGCAGCCAATATGATTCCATTTCTGGTAATAGGATGCTAAAAATAAATACAGAGTAATGCTCTTAGTCTTTGATTTGAATGTTTTACGGCTGCTTTAGGCACTTAGATGCTGAATTAAATTAATTTGTAACCCTGTAAAGCCTGATATATGAAATAATATTCAGATTTTTTTTAATGGAACAGTTTATTGAACCTTTAGACAAAAAAAAAACTGAGCAAAATTATGACATTTGGTGCAGATGCTGATATTTACGTATACAAAAAAGTAAGATGATAATTCTGATAGTTTTAATGTAAATCAATGAGATTGTGGACTACTTGCATAACATCATATAAATATAATTTGTCACTCTATATCTCCCAAAATAATATGCCTTAGTAAGATGACATTCAAATGCTTTATAGTTAAAGCTTATATTGCAGTGCAGCGCAGTGATGATTGAAAGATGAACAAATAAATGTTCCTCAAAAGCCTGATGATCATATTTAATATTCACATTATGATGTATGGATAAACCTAAGTTGCTTCAGTTTATTAAGTGTTTATCTTGAAATGTTATACTAACAATATCAAAGTTATTCTTATGTTTACTTTATACGAATCTCAGATTTCATAACACAAAGTGCAGTGAAGCATGAGCTGAAGGTGGATGTTTGTACAATTACACTAAAAGGTCTTTTACTTGCTAAATCAGCCAGACAACAGAAGGCATGCAGTAGATTGAGTGAAATAGCTTTAACAGCAATTTTGATCATGTTGATCATTTAGAGGACTTAGAAATTGTGTATCAAATAGGATACAACAAGCATTACAGGGATAAAAAACTGTTAAATGTATCTTTAGGAAATCTAAAAAGTAATAAAATAGTGAATTTTAATGTCAGCCATTTATTGTTTTTTGGCCATAGCATCAGCTTATTGGTAGTCATGTTAGTTTAAAGTAAGTTTGACGTCAGAGTTCAGTCCTCTAAGTTGCAGTGCTTTTC